CTGGCCAGTTCCTGTTGGGTCTGCCCCATCAGCGTGTTCAGGCGAGCCTTGATGTCGGGAAGACGGTCGCGGATATGGGCCATCAAAGTGGTGTTGAGAGTCTTGGCGAGAAACTGCGTACCACAGCGGGTGGCAATATTCCGGTACGCTGGGTGGTGTTTGAAGAACTCCTGCTCAGCCTTCAAAGCCTCCTCCATCGGCTTATTTCCTTGGATATCCTGCTGTGATCGGTTGACCACACCAATCCACCCCAGCTTCAACGGATACACCCGTCCCGAGAGAATATCAAGAGCGTTTGTTCCGTGATCCATAAGGTCCACCTTGGTGAGCACACCGATCGTCCTCCGTCCCAAGGGGTCAACATGTCTGGCAAGTTTGAGCGCCTCTGAGTTAACAATATCGACGTTCGCTGGCGACACGGCAAGGATTATACTGTTCGGCTTGGCGATGTACTCGGAAATTAGGTTCCTCGTCTGCTTCTCGATATCTGTGGGTTGATCTCCGATGGGAACCTGAGCATCGAGTGTCAGCAACCATTATGCGACGGGCTAAACCATAACACGTTGAGAGCCCTGCCTACCTTTGTGAGTCCTGGCAAGTCGACCAGCGTGAGGTTGAGGACATGCGGTGAGTATATCTTGAGGTTGATGGGTTGGCGGTTGATGCCTTTGTTGCTGCCGGCTACTCGTGCTGTCTCATTCTCGATTTCCCGCTTGACATCGCCAAAGTCGGTGAACCTGCGGCTGGGGATGTGATGGAACTCGGCCCACTCGTTCTGGCCAGCTGCGGTTGGGTTTCGGTATGTGACGGGCACCAGGTTATCTTCCTCGTCCTCGGGAACATTTATGAGCTGGAGGATTAAGGGTCGTCTGGTTACAATGCCGCTGCCGCGGGGCAGGAAATCGCGCCCGACAATGTTTTCTAACACAGAGGACTTTCCTGCCGATTGCGAGCCAACAACAACCTGTATAGTATTCAAGTTAGCTCAAGTAGCACCATGTGTTTCCGCCTAGGGTTGTCGTACAATCTGGGGCAAATCAAGGGAGTCGTTGCCGATTGTGTTGAAGACCAGATCTTGCAACTTGTTGACAGTTCCGAGCAGATCGTCACCGAGGGAAGCCATGATAGCAGATTATGCCTAGTTGACAGTAAAGTTTCTGAGTCTGTCGAGTATTTGATGTTGTCGGCAAGGCTGAGAGCACAATAGCGACAACTACCCCGTGTTTTTATTGACTCGGTTGACACTCGGGTTAGAGCGATGGGGCGAGGTCGAAAAAGCTAGCACCTGGCACAGCTGAGAAGCGAAGGGAAGACAAGATCAGACACGCCAGAACAGTCGTGATAAAATCGTTTAAGCGTCGAGTTGGATGTTGTCTGCAAAGGCAACCTACCGACGACCCTGTCGAGTTGGCAGTGCTGTTGGATGTGCCGCAAAAACTTAGTTCCACGATTCAGTTCCGAAGTTGGCCGTTGAGGATTGCCCGTGATCGTGTCGCAAGTCCCCAATTTCCAAGAATCATGCACGGTCCTGGGGAGTCCATCGCGTCTCCTTGCCAGGTTTTGTGGCTGCAGTGGCTGATGACGTTGTCTCACAGGTTCTTCTGCGCTTTGTGGCACGGACTTCAATTTACGTAAGCTCGCCTTTTCACCCTTCTCTCCGGAAGGTATCCAGTGAGAGAGATCCTCTATCTAGATGGGTGAGAATCGACACAAACCATCAATATGAGCACATTTGGTAGTCCCGGCGGTCTTCCGTCGACAAAGCCCATACCGTAAGCCTTATTCTCCTAACTGTACCATCACCCATGTGCTGACCACCCAGTCTAGACCACAGCGTGGTAGCTTTCCTCTCGATCATGAAGGTCAGTCCCTACACTTGATGGCCCGTGCCCACCAGTTCTCATGATCACGTTTCTCACACGACAACAGGGGAATGCAAGCAGGTCATGATTGACTATCTCAGCTGCATGAAGAAGGTCAGGGGAGTGAATGAGAATGAGTGTCGCCTTCTAGCCAAGGCATATCTGGGATGCCGTATGGACAGGTGAGTCTGATGAACTACATCTCCAATTTTGTGAACTGCCGCTCACATCCAATGTCTCTAGAAACCTAATGGCAAAGGATGAGTTCAAGAACCTCGGTTTTCAGGATCCAGCAGACGAACAGAACAAGCAGCCAGGGCAAGAGAAGGGTGTCAAGGGCGAACTGTTATGGTAAGCCCCTGAAGCGATGCACGACTCTGCCGACTAATGATACCCATCCATTGTACAATATTAAACATGATATGCTTCTTGCCTACATCTTGGCCTTCGACAGCCTTCAAGCCTCATCTTTCAATGTCCAAACCGCATCGTCTCAGCCCTGCAGCCTCCCCGTTCCCTACTTGACCATGCGGCCGGTGCCGGACTATATATATGGCTAGTCGATCCGAGCCGGCCACTACAGGTACCCCGCAATTGCGAATCACCGTTCGATGCGGGACCTTAGTCCGCCATTGCTTACAATGACACGATGTTCTACCGTCTGGTGGAAGTTTTATGTAGGATTGATTTTCGCGGGAGCCTGAGGATTGTCTGCAACGTTGCGAACTTCATTCCCGCTGTTCAGGTTATCTCCGAGACTGTCGTTACCGCAGCGAGACCGGCGCACGTCAACGTGATACCTTTTTTACGTGCCATCATTGATTCCCGGTCTCTCATTCTTGCTTACGTTGTCGCAGCATTCTATGTGTGGGGAGCGCGCGAATTGGCTTCCCTTTCGTGTATAGCTAGAGTTCAACTGTCAACATAATGTTAGACGTCGCAAGACATTCTAGACTTGGCTCCTTCCGACTTTCGGGACTACGGTGTCATCGTCACCATCTCCATTCCCGGGGGTTTAGGACGAGTAGTGTACACCAGAACTATGAGTCTACGCTGCCCAACTTGCTTATTGGCAAGCATACAAGGGTGATATTCCAGGGTTTCACTGGTAAGTCCGGCATCTTCTGCTTGAAGGACTTGCCCTAACACCATACAGGTAGGCAAGCTACAGCCAACGCAAAGGATTCCATAGAATGGGGTACCAATATAGTGGGTGGTGTCAAGCCGGGCTGGACAGGTGAACACCTGGGACTGCCCGTCTTACCTACCGTGCGAAAGGCAATGGAGGTCTTGAAGCCGGACGCAACGGGCATCTATGTGGCAGCACACCAAGCTGCTGGCGCGATAGAGGAAGCCATTGAGGCAGAAGTGCCGCTAGTCGTTGCTGTGGCTGAGCACATCCCACTTCATGATATGCTCAGAATACACTCCATCCTCAAGACACAGTCCAAGTCGCGTCTTGTGGGACCAAACTCGCCTGGGATCATTTCCTCTGTTGGAAAGTGTCGAATTGGTTTCCAACCTCTGCCTTGTTTCTCACCTGGCAAAGTAGGTATCATCGCAAAGTCAGGAACGCTGAGCTATGAGACGGTGGCTTCGACAACACGGGCTGGCCTGGGACAGTCGCTGTGCATCGGAATCGGCGGAGACATCTTGCCAGGTACAGATCTTAGGGAAGCACTGAGTGTCTTGGAAAATGACAATGATACGGAAGCTATTGCTCTGATAGGAGAAATAGGAGGCACACTGGAGATGGACGCTGCGGCATGGATCAAAGACTACAACTCACGGGCTGAGTCACCTAAACCCATCGTTGGGCTTGTGGCAGGCGTCAATGAAGCTCCTGGTCGAATCATGGGCCATGCCGGAGCTTTCACTATCCCGGGCGAACCGTCTGCAAGAGACAAGATCAAGGCTTTCATCGAGGCTGGGGTAACGATGGTGAATCATCCAGCGAAATTTGGTGATGCTCTCAAGAAACGGCTGCAAGGACGTCAGGAATTCTCCTACGGCCAGTCGCCGTTGCACGCTGGTCTACGCCGCAAGATGCACACTCTTTGTCGCCGACCTGGTGCCACTCGCGCGGCGTCATCGCCCATCCAAGCCATCCAAAAGCGTACCCTGTATCTCCCAACCGAGACCGCCTTCGACCTCCTACGCCAGCACGGAATAACCGCGGCGCCTTACTCAGGCCACGGAACTCGGCATCTCCTAGCCGTGGGCATCGATCGCTCAAGCCGTTCCCCTTGCCTGATCGCCTCTCCTTCGTTACCTTCCGCTTCTTCCGCGGACAGCAGCAATGCCAAGCGCTTCCCCTTCTCTTACAATGCCCAGGACACGCTGTCCATCGAGAGAATAGCATCGCATCTATCTCTCTCCAAATCCGACGCCACCACCACCTCCCTGCGAACCCTGATCCGCGCCCTCGCCGCAATCTTCAAAGACCGCGAAGCTTTTTACCTCGAGACTGAGATCGTCGAACGGTTAGGCGCAATCAAAGTAGTCGGTGCCAGATTCGGCCTTGATGATGCAGCTTACCGCTCCCTGGGTCGACAGGGTGATCTGCATTCTCTTCCCACTTCTGATGATCCAGCTATTGTCGAAGCCGCGCAACACGGCATAGTCTACATCCCCCTCCCGTCCACGACCGCCAGTATCGGAACGCTCGTCAACGGAGCCGGGCTGGCTATGAACACCGTGGACGCATTGGCCGATGCGGGTGGCGAAGCGGCTAACTTTCTTGACACGGGTGGGAAAGCTACCTCAGAGACGGTCAAGAAGTCTTTTGAAATCATTCTCCGGGATCCAAGAGTCAAGGTTGTCTTTGTGAATATCTTTGGCGGACTGACGCTCGGGGATATGATTGCTCGTGGTGTGCTGCTCGCGTTTAAGGAGTTGGGGGTGCAGGTTCCGGTCGTGGTGAGGATCAGGGGCACGAACGAGGAGGAGGGTCAAAGGATCATTGCCGAGAGTGGACTGCCGTTGTTTGCATTTGATGGATTCGAGGAGGCCGCGGCCAAGGCTATCGAGTTGAGCAAAGCATAGGAAGCTCAACTTGTCTTGGAGTTAAGGGGAATCAAAAATCACATGTCTGTGCCGGGGCTCGACGACGAGGTTGTCGATAGTGGCAAAAGGAACTGATGAGAGTGGGATTCGAACCCACGCCCTTTCGGACTACGGAGAACACCCTGGAGGGTAGTTTTAAGGGTTTGAAAGACCTTAACGTAGCGCCTTAGACCGCTCGGCCATCTCACCATGTTGTCGAGTCGTGATAGTGGGCATGATGAGCCTAGCTCGTGGGACTGACTCGCGTGGGCACCAGCAAACCAAACTAGGTCCCTCACGACTTGGCTACAATGGCTTGAAAGTGCATAAGAAAGGCTACTGCAGCCATGCTTGAAGGTTCTATACGCTTTGTTAGATGCTAGATATGCAGAAGTTGTACAATGATAGATGCTATAATGCTAGACCCTCTCGACCACGATGAAAAATTTCAGGTATGCAGACCACGACAACCTCTTCTGTACGGAAGTGGCATTGGACGCGATCTGTCTTACAACATCGTCGTCTTGCACGTCGGCCTGTCTCTGAGCTGCAGTGAGGCCCAGTTTCTCCATCTCTCCTAGCTTCCAACTCCTCAACAGCCAGACTAGCACCACCGTTAGCAATACCCCTGTGCAAGGTGCAGGACTGCAGGTGACCAGAAATGACTTACCTGCTAAGAATGATGCAGCATACATAATGCCTGTGAAGATTTGGATGTCGATGTAGCCATTGGCGCCGGGCTTCTTGAGCCCGATGGCAATGGCCTCCGCGAACGTGGAAGGTAAGACGAGAACCAGCCAATAGATGGACAACGCCGCCGGCAGCAGTTGGACTCCAACGACCTCTGCCCCTACAGGACCTACCGTGGCCCAAAAACAGCCGGCGAACATACCAAAAAGAGCGTAGATGATGACGCCCGCGAAGTACTTCCCGGCAAAGATCCAGAGGAAGAAACTGGCTGCGCAAGCAATAAGTGTACCCAGTCCGGCAACATTAATCCTGCCCATCCTGTCGCTGACCAGGCCAATAAGCGGTCGTCCGATACCTTGGGACACTACATAAAGATTAGCATGGCCATGAACGTGACGTAGGAGAAAAGTTGCAACCTACAGTTAAACATAGCCGACACGATCGAACCCTGGCTTGCCGTGAATCCGACATGTTGGCAGTAATCCGCCAATGAAAAGACCACGATAACATATCCCAGCATAGCAAAGAAACCCCAAAAGACGTAAAGCCAGTACTCCCGTCTCTTGAGCACGCCTTTATGGAAGGCCACGTGAACCGCACCGATAGCCTTATTCCTATCCCTAAGAATGATGCTGCAGAACCCGTTCACCACGAAGGAGATGATGGCCAGGATGCGGAAGGCCCACGCAAGCCCCATCTTATCGATCATGGCGTTGGTCGCGAGCGAGTAGATGAGACCACCGAATCCTGACCCAGCTGTTGACAGTGCATTTGCAAAGGACCTTTTCTTAGTGAACCACTGCGGTACCACGCCCACGGTAGCCGTAAAGGCAAAACCCATGCCGATACCAAAGCAGATTCCCTGGGATAGCAGGAGGTGCCATATCTGGGAGGTGAAGGAGGCGCCGATGAAGGAGACTGCTTGAAAGACCACGCCTATTCGGAGGGTCGTTTTGGTGCCAAACTTGCGGATACAGATGGTGGCTAGGGGCGAGACGAGGAGGGCTATCGAGACCGAGAGACCGCCAACGAAGGCGAAGGACAAGGGCGAAGCATTGGGAAAGGTGCCCGAGTTCAGATAGTAGGCCAGGAAAACGGCGTAGGAGGAGTTCAGACCCCAGGTGTGTGCGTTGACCAGGGCGACTGCTAACACAACGACCCTGTGATATATGGTCAGTTTGCCGAGGCTTGCATGTAGTGAGTGGAGGGCGAACCCACCAGCCATATCCTCCTTCCTTGAATTCTGTCTTCGCCTCTTCCCTAGAGTCAGTCTCCGACTGGCCTTGCTCAGTCTTCTCATTAGGCACGGTCTCCGACCTGGCGTCTGAGGTTGCCGCGTATATTACGTTTGAAGGCACACGTATGAGTTTTGGAGGCGAGTCATCGTTTTCAGGGCCATGAGTGGTCATCTTCGACTTATAGAAGCCGGACCAAGCACTAACGTGGTAGGATCGTATCCAACTTCTTTCCTTTTCAGCAAAACATCAGGCCTTTGAATCACTCGCCCAGGACGCACTGATGCAAGATCAAAGCCAAACTTTTTCGCCTGCAGGCTGAACGAGGCGGCACTCGGTTATAAAAGACCATCCCCCATCTTTGGAAGGTTATGTAAATTATTCCCAGTCAACCAACGGGGATCGGCACTAAAGCAAAAGGAGGGAATGGGAATCGTTACATCGTGCCAGACGGGGGTTTTCCCCCGCATTCCCCCTTCAGCTCTCTCCCCTTTCCAGCAGTTCCCAGAGTCGAATCATTGGGATGGGCAGGATGACGCTTGTCTGGGGATGCAGCGGCTTTGTCGAGCGGCAATAAGTCCTAACTACCCGGTTCCCAACAAGGTGCATGTTCGGCGCGGCTGTGGTGTGACGAGCCGGGCAGTTGAAAGAGGGTGAGATGCCGTCATTGCCGCTCGGCGGCGGCTATCGGCTATCGGTAATGACATCCAAAACAGTCAATTCCTTTGGACGTTAGCGGAACTCTGGCGTGCATTAAGGTATTGGCGGAATCCCCGATATAAAGTCGATCCAGCACGGGAGGTGTGGCGGCCGCCCCCGCAACCCGACCTGGCAACTTCTTTTAAGTTAAAGAGCATTGCGGGTAGTACATCCAAACAGAGAATGAGGTTCTACCGGAGCTAAGAGCTTACAATGGCCATAGAGTAGCAGTACACAGCTGTGTGGCTTTGATTGAATTTCAGCGATGTAGGTACCTCCATATATCTTAAAGCTTATCAGACCAGGTTACCTGTAGGTACCTACGTACACCTGGTTCAGAGCTAAGGTTGTCCATTAAGCTCCGTTATCGCGATGCGCTTATCGACGGGTATCCGTAATTGTGACGCATCCCACCCTAGCAGACCTCCTCTAGAGTTGTTACACCAAGCAACTTGCCCAACGTAGAGCCAGGAGAGCGAGTATCTGCGCATTGCCTGCCATGGACCATGTAACTGTTGCGGCGGCGACGCTTCCAAGCGTGCCTTTGGATTTTCAAGGTCTGTCATGATACGTCCTCGATTAGTCAAAGATGACACTGACGAAGCACTCGCAGGGAACCGCGACCGCATCTTGGAGAGCATTCGTCAAGCGAAAGCCCAGGGCGCCACACTTCGCACAGGTCCCGAGCTCGAGGTATGCGGCTACGGCTGTCTTGATCACTTCCTGGAGGGCGATACGGAGTTACACAGCTGGGAGGTGCTCGCCGAGATCATCACCGATGAGGTTTGCAAAGACATGCTGGTTGATATTGGTCTACCCGTTCGACACAAGGGCGTGCAGTACAACTGCAGAGTGCTCTGTACGTACCGGTCAGTGCTGGCTATACGCGCCAAACAGGTAAGTATTCTCAGGCTCCTGTGACCATGCGCTATCACTGACGTTACCACCTTCACCAGGCACTCGCTGGCGATGGACTATACAGAGAGCCACGACATTTCACGGCGTGGAGCAAAAAGAGGCAAATCGAGGAGCATAAACTACATCAGGCTGTGAGGGCCGTGACGGGACAGAAGACTGTGCCCATTGGTGATTTCATCCTTGAGACGGAGGACACCAGCATTACATGTGAAACATGCGAAGAGCTTTTCGTAGGTGCTCTTGAGAGGTTCTTGCCAGGCGAAAAAATAGTGCTAACGCCACTACTAGGTGCCGAACAATCCCAGCATATATACAGGCCTTGACGGCGCAGAAATCATACTCAACTCCAGTGCCTCCCACGCTGAACTAAGAAAGCTGGAACAGCGCCTCAACCTCATTACCAACTCGACGCGCAGCAATGGCGGACTTTACATTTATGCCAACTGTAGCGGGCTTGACGGCGAGGCACGGATGATCTATGACGGGAGCAGTATGGTCATCCTGAATGGCGAGGTTCTTGCGCAGTCCTCCCAATTCTCCCTCCTTCCGGTCGAGACCATCGTTGCAACTGTCGATCTTTCAAGGGTTCGCAGTTACAGAACCAGCCATTCTCGCAACGTCCAGGCTGCTCATCAGCCGGAATTCCCGCGAGTGCACTGCAACATCAAGCTCAGCCGCTCCAGCTCCGACATGTTTATCTCCGGCAAGTCGTTGTCCGAAGAGCGTCCGATCAAACTGCTGGATCCTATGCAAGAAATATATCTGGCGACCAGTATGTATCTGTGGTCGTATCTCTGCCGATGCAGCGCCGGAGGATTCTTTCTTGCCCTATCCGGGGGGCTCGACTCCAGCACCGTCGCCCTTTTCGTCTATGGCATGGCGAAAACCGTGCTGAAGTCTATACAAAACGAGGAACAGACAACTCTGAATGAGCTCCGCAGGCTTGTGGGCATTCCCAACTACAACCCGGAAACCCCAGAGGATATTGTCTCGAAGCTGCTGCACACAACTTACATGGGTACAACCAACTCATCGGAGGAGACCCGTTCCAGGGCCAAACGACTTGCTCAACAAATAGGCGCATACCACACAGATTTAAACATGGACAAAGCGGTAGCGGCTCACGAGTCGCTCATTGGAGACGCCTTCGGTGGGTTCCAGCCCAGGTACGAAAGCCAAGGCGGCACCGCAAGTGAGTCTTTAGCGAAGCAGAACATCCAAGCGAGGAATCGGCTCGTGATCTCGTATGAGCTGGCACAAGTGAGTCTACAGGCACGAGGCATGCCGCGAGCTGGCGCTTCCCTCCTCGTCCTTGGGTCCGGCAACGTGGATGAGAACCTTCGAGGCTATTATACCAAGTACGACGCATCATATGCGGATCTCTCTCCTCTCGGCTCCATCTCCAAAACGGATGCGAAGAGCTTTCAACGTTGGGCAGTCAAGGAGTGGAATATGCCGATCCTGAATGAGTTCCTGGAGGCCACTCCCACGGCCGAGCTGCTCCCACTTTCTGAAGGTGTAGCCGTCCAGTCAGATGAAGAGGAGATGGGACTCACCTACGCAGAACTCTCCGAGTTCGGCATCATGCGCAAGGTTTACAAGCTTGGTCCTTGGTCGACGTACTTGCGGTTACTGGCCGAGAGGGGAGATAAGCCTGGCAGTCCGCAG